CTAGAATTGAACTTATGGACTAGTATTGGACTATGGACTTGAGTTGGGCTGGGATGTTTTCCTTATATACAATTACTTCTTGATATAAAGCTCTTTCTTACAACCTCCAGATTTGTTTCTCTAGTCAACCTTGCCTAACACAGTTAGCTTGGTTTCATTATTAGTGTCTGTCTTTGTGTTTTTGTTTCTGGTTTTGTTTTGTTATTATGCCTATCCTGCATCACCTGATGAAATCAACAGTCCCAATATTATCAAGCCACCCCTGCATGTTCAACAGCTGCAGCTAATAGTAGGCATGGAACACTATTCACGCATATAAACAAGGAGGGGGAAAATGTCATAAGTAATGCAATATTTTGGAGATATCAGTTAATTTCTGTTCACACAAAAAAAGTAAGATGGAATGACAAAAATGATTTACCAAGACACAATGCCAAAGGACCCTCTTGAGGAAGAAAAAGCTTTGGAACAATCAGAAAAGAAATTCAGAAGAAAGCTGTTCAGATATTTTCAACAGATGAAGAAAATGATCAAGAGAGTTACAAGGAGAAAAATCAAGCAGCACACTATAGAAGAACCCAGAAAACCACTACAAGATCAATCTGACAATATAAATGAAAAATCTGTAATCTCACAAAAACTCTAAAAGATTAGCACTAACATATAGTTCTGCAGACACAGTTCTGTCATAGTGAAGGAGCATTACTAAATGTTGTGCCCTGGGTCCAACTCTCACTGTTTTCTTAAACAAGATTCAGTCACTTAATTTTTAAAAAATATGTGTAAGTGAATAGCCTGTGTATTTTAGTCTACAACACTTTCCTTTGTATGAATATTGCCCTTATCTCAGTAGTACTTTAAATGCTATTTCACTGGCTTGTTTAATTATTAGAATTACAAAAGACCTCATGGAAGTTACTAATGGGTAGAGGACATGAATCGGCAGTTTACCAAAAACGATATTCAGGTGGCCAAAAAATAACATATGAAAAAATGCTTGTGATCATCAACCAAAGATGATATTCAGGTGGCCAACAGCAACATATGGAAAAGTATGATCATCACCATTCAACCGTGCAAGTCAAATCAGCAATGAGTTAACACCACACACCAGCCTTGATTCAAAAACCTCACGACCACCAAGTCAATTCCGACTCACAGCAACCCTACAGGCCAGGGCAGAACTGCCCCTGTGGGGTTCTGAGACTATAGCTGTTTATGGGAGTAGAAAACCTCATCTTTGTCCTGCAGAACCACTGGTGGTTTCAAACTGCTGACCTTGTACCTGACAGACCAATGCTTAACCCAAAATGCCACCAGGGTTCCCAGCATTAGTAGCAAAGTAAAAAAATTTAAAAATTAAAGCAAAAAAACAAACAAACCAGAAACTAACATATGCTAGAAAGGCTGAGGAGGAGAGATTGGAACCCTCATACACTGCTGGTGGAACTGTAAAAATATACAACTGTGGAAAGCAGGATGGCACTTCCTCACACAACTGCGAGCCAAATACCTTATGACCCTGCAATCCCTTAACTCAGCATATACCTTAAAGCAATAAGAGCAAGGAATTTTTTTATATACACATAATAGAATACTACGCACCACTACAAAATAATGATGAAACTGTGAAACACCTCATGGCAAGGATGGATTTGGAGAACATTATGCTAAGGAGCCCTGGTGGGATAGGAGGTTATGTTTAGGCTCCCTCATGCAAGGTTAGTGATTTAAAACCACAAGACACTCTGACCTGCAGGACAAAGATGAGGTTTTCTACTCCCATAAACAGCTATAGTCTCAGAACCCCACAGGGGCAGTTCTGCCCTGGCCTGTAGGGTTGCTGTGAGTCGGAATTGACTTGATGGTCGTGAGGTTTTTGAATCAAGGCTGGTGTGTGGTGTTAACTCATTGCTGATTTGACTTGCACGGTTGAACGGTGATGATCACAAACACTTTTCCATATGTTGTTGTTGGCCACCTGAATGTCATCTTTGGTAAAGTGCCTATTCATGTCATCTGTCCATTTTTTAATTTAATTATAAATCAACAGTGAATTTGGTTCGGTTTTTAGAGAGTTAGTAAAGCTGGTGAATCACAAAAAGACAAAATACTGTATGAGACCATTGATGTATTTTTAAAAATGAAGATACAGTTGTTCATACCAAAATAAAGACTTGGATGGCTACCAGGGGAAGAGAGGGTTCGGGCAAGATATGCTACTGAGTAGACAGAGTTAGTGAAGGTGAAGCGTTAGAGAAAACAATGGAGAGAGGAACAGGGCACACTAATGGAAGGTGTAATAACTTCAATACAACATATAAACCCCCTCCTAATACACAATAAAAAATTTTTGAAATCTGATTTACTCTTGTATTTTTCTCGATTTGGTAAAATTAATTGAGAATAGGCAGAAAAAATCAAAATGTATATATAGGCATAGTATGACAGCAATTAAGGTTAGTAGCCAAAACTCTTCTTCCTGAATGGTCTGATTCCTCAAAATGTTCCTGTAGTAAAATCATACCCTAATTCTATTTTCTGGGGTTTTGTTTTCTTTTTCAAATTCCATCATTGACATAAACCATCTATTGTGTACTACAGACCAGTTTAAGTATTGACTATGTGGCATTAAGTCCTAAAACTGAAGGATATAACTACTCTCGAGGGTCTGTCTTTCTCCCTATTTTTAGGTTCCTCCTTCCCCTACTAAAAATGTGAAAATGAATGTAGTCAAGTTATACAAATTATAGCATAGTCATGGTAATTTATTATCTTCAGCTTGGTTTTATGTACAAAGTAATAAAGTCATGCTTTCTTAATCATTCCTGAGATCTGATTTTCTAATACATTTAAAAAGTACTGTTCTTATTGTCTATTTTCCCACAAAGACCAATAAAATGAACTACTATGAATCTGAAAACAACACAAAACTCTAAGACAATTAAAAAGGAGTGAATGGCTACTGTGCACATTAATATGGATGAGTCCCGCAAACGCAAGGGCGGTGTGAGTTCATTTTTATACAGTTCAAGAACAGGCAAAACTGATCTCTCTGATTAACCTAGCCACAGTAGTTATTGCCTCCAGGCAGCAAAAGAAGGTTGACTGGGAAGAAGCATCACAGAGCCTAGTGAGGTGCAGGAATGTTCCTTTCCTTGGTCTAGGTAATAGTGACTGCAGTTACGTGCATATGTAAGAGATCACCTGACCTCGTGGCCCACTTTGGACATGTGTACATTATGTGTGTTACACTTCAATTCGGGTGGGGGGGTGGGGAATACTACAGTGTTGCCAAGGGTCTTTTAAGTTTCAATTGCAAACTTCAGAAAACTAGCACACTAAAACTATAGCACTTAAATGTGCCCACACTATTATTAACTTGAGAATTCCTCATTATTTAGTACTCATTACTAGATCAAAGCAATACATTAACATATACAGAAAGGGTCAATAGAAATAACACTTAACATTTTTAGAGTGTTTACTATGTGTCAAACACTTTATTTTCATAATTTCGTTTAAACCTTACAACAGAAAGAGATACTACTGTTATTATCCCCTTTACACAGATGGAAACAAACAGCTAGGTCAACATTATCACCCAAGGCCACATAAATAACAAGAGGTGTGCTGGTAAATGCACAAGAATAGCTGAAAAGCAAGCTGTATGTCAACTTCTCCACTTTCATTAGGGAAATGCAAAAATCAAATCAACATACATTCCAAGCAACAAGACATAAGCAGAATCTAAGCTGAAAAACTCACTACCAACAAGTCGATTCAGAGCAATAGATCACTGGTGGCATAGTAGGTTCACACACTGAGCTGCTAACCACAAGATCAGCAGTACAAACCCACCAGCCACTCAGCTGGAAAAGGATGAGGTTTCTGCTCCGGTAAAGATCTACAGCCTCATAACTCACAAAGAGTAGTTCTACTCTGTCCTATAGGATCACTAGGCGTCCACTAAGCAGATTACATAACCAATATGTATTTTTTCTCTCAAGTCAATGGATTAAACTACTTTAACAGTTCCTTAGCTCTGTGATTAAAAGCCCATCATTAACTCCTAAGAACTGAAGTCCTTATGTAGCAGAACAAAATGGTCTTTGGGACAATCTCCTCCCCACGAACCTACCCCCCTACTCTGGTCATCAAAATATATCACACAACAAAGCAACTAAACAACTGTGAACCAAGACAGACACGAGGCGAACGCCTGTGTTTTTCAATTCATTCAAAAGTCCTTTCAATTTGGCCATGCTAGGAGGAGGCATGCCCAGGATTAAGGTTCTTAAAAACTAAATAGATTCTCAAAAATGCTGCCTTATTTGCTAAACATTCTGTATTATGAAGAGACTTTGATAGAGGATTATGTGGGAGTAAAATGCACACTAAACTGTACATTACACTGTACACTAAACACTACATGATCTTAGTAGCAAAATATATCAAATTAGCCATCAAACATACTACTGCATTCTGCATTAGTTGAAAACTACAATCACTGGAATTCACACTCACTTTTAACTATTCCCAGAAGATAAAAATCTAACTATACCATTCAAGATCCAGAACTGCTCTTTCCTGAAAAGTACACGAGAAAGAAACTTAACTAATACTCTGAATAATATTGGGGGGTGGGGGAGGATCTAGTGTTTCTCAGAAATTTTGCTACAAAGATTTTACAGAATATTTTTCACAGACATATTTTCATTTACTTGTGTCTATTAGTAATCCTGAGGAAGCAATGCCTTAAAAATACTAGAAGTCAGAATTCTTAAAAATATAATTCTATAAAAGTAAAAGAGTAAAGTACAATATACCTAGTCAAACAAGCATTTTGTCTCTGTAAAACTGTTTGCTTGACATAAAAGCTAATCTGCTCTCAGTTAAAAAAAAACAAAACATCAAAATAATACATCAACCTTTTATAGGCAAGACCAAACTGTAAAATAACTTTACACTTTATGGAAAGATCATTAAACAAAACTTACCAATTCTGCAGCGCAACTTGTGGATGCTTGTGCTCTGGAGGGAAAAATAGAGCAGTGGCTGCTGAAGTGACAGTGGTGCAGTCTTGCTTATAATAAAGTCCTCGCCAGCAATCAGTATTTGGGGTTGGCTTTTCTCTTACAAGATAAGCTGTTAAGTCAGCCCTTGATTTTAGATCTACTAACATATGGAGTTTTCTTAATGCAGCCTTCTCTCTGTTGCCTCCCCACTTCCTATCTCCACTCAGCTACACACACACACACACACACACACACACACACACACACACACACACCCCAAAAAAAAAAGGCACTGCAGGGCAGAAATTCCTCAGGTGCTTGCTAATGGAATTCCCAGGGTCTCGGAGCCGCTTCGGGGATCAAGAGATCTCATAGCCCCCGCTGGGGTAAGGAGCAGCAAGTCTGTTCCATTTAATCAAATACAGAATGAATTTTCAGCTCTATTCACTAGCTTGTCTCCCGGGCTCTCAAAAGGCACCAGGCAGCTAGAATCACACACATAATTAGTTTGATTTTTAAAAGCCACATTAATAATATCACCTCAGGACCATTATTCAGCAGACAGATGACAATGATACTGTATGTTTTACGTCTGACAATGGGAAACGAGCACAAACAGTGAGGGGAAACTTGAAGGGTTAAAAAAAGTTTCCATTTAATGTAATGTAATCTTTTTAAAGTAACATTAGGTATATTCAGCATACCATTTCTTAATTCTAAAGAGAAGAATCAAGTCCTCGTTCCCATTCTCTTGCAAATGAATACAACTATTAAAAATTACCAAAGGTAATGTTTACACACAATACAAAGCATGACATACAAATGAAACATTCTCTCATTCAACCTAAGTTTACAAAATTTCTTTTAAAAAGCACCAGTGAAAACACCTGAACTCTAACCTCAAAGCAATACATTCGGCAACCAGACTCCAAATTCCCTTTCTAGTTCTGCTGGCAAGGACTCGATAAAATGGGAAGATCATTTTTCTAAGGGAAAACTACCTGGAAGGCAACTCATCTGTACTTTGGAAGTGTTGTCCTGTCTATAAAATCTAGGCAGTAAATGCCAATAACAAGACGATAGCCGGTGTTAATGGCTATGACAATTTATTAATAGAATAAAATTTTATATTTTTTTATTTCCTACCCCCAGCCTAATTCCCCTAAAATGTTTAAATCTTGAAATAACTTCCCTAAGCATTTTACTTAGAACCCATCCTTTTTTTTTTTAGTGTAAATGTTTTGCAAAAGAACTATTTCTAAAGAAGGAAAGTGTTACTTCATTTTACAGGTTCACAAATCATAAATGAAATCCTTAAGAAAGTCATGAAAGAACAAAGGGCAAGGGGAGGGGGGGTGAGGGCGGGGATAAGACAGCACTAGAAAACAAATTTACCTGTCCTCTTGAAAGCCCTAAGACAAATTCCTTTTTCCTACAGATTGCCTTCAACTACTTATACCTTGGGGTGGGGGAGGCTGTCTCATCTTAAAGTGAACTCAAATTTCTTTTATGAAAAGAAAAACATCTACAAAGAAGGCAAGGAGAGATAGATTGACTTAGAAGATCAGAATGCTCTAAATCCTTAGCCTTCTTCATACTTCAGTTTACGATTAGGAACATTTTAACCACCTAAACTGAAAAGAAGGTTGATGAGGACCTTAGCAATCAATCAAGGCATCCCAAAGGAGTTACTACCAAAGTATGACTTTCCTGGTTGACTATTCAAAGACAGACTTCCCAAATACTATATGTGAGTTTTTGCATGAAAGTCAAACAATATACATTTTTGCATGTTTCATAGAAACATAAATGTTTCTGGTCCACACATTGCCAAACACACACACTCAGGATACATCTTTATTAAATGAAACAAGTTACCTTCTGATAAGAGGGGGTTTAAAAAGTTGGTGGGGAAAGTTCCATGATCTTTTAATTCCATTTTTCCACAAGCTTTATAAACCCTTCATAGAACTGAAAGTATGAAGCCGTTTATTTCAACATGTGCATAACAGAGACTACAAGCTTTGCTGCCTCTCTGGGTTCCTAAGAATGCTTTCTAGTTTAACACTAATTTTAAATTTCCAGAAATTTCCTGAAGGCTTTCATTTTGTCCCCAAAACTGAATATTCTACATTTCCAGCTAAATATTCACTACCACAGGAAAATGGCTAAACATTTAGAACTATAATGAAAATAAAGCCATGTCTTGCAGACAGACACTGCCCACTAGGCATGCTGGGTGTCAGTTGGGACTCTGAGGGTTATGGTATCAGTGAGGCAGGGGATCAGAATTCACTGCTGGGCTCTTTCATCTTTACTGGCCATTGCCCTGAGAATAATCTCATGTTACCTTTTGGTCTAACCTCCTGCTTTCAAGGTGCCAGATTCGGAACACAATGGCTGACATTCTGTGAGTGAAGTTCCCTAAATTCTAGATCCCAACAAGAGGCCTAATCTTAAATAAAGCACCTGCCACCCTCGGTCGCCTCAACCAGGAAGGGCAGGCGTTCTGGAGAACAGCTCCTCCCCCCCCCCCCCCCCCCCCCCACCCCGAACTTTCCATCCCATTTGATGTGGCTAGTTCGAACAATAGAGAGAAGGGCAAGAGAAACTATCTATCCCCTTCAGTGATTTATTACTGAAACTCCGAGATGTGGAGAGAAAGTAACAAAGGTCTGGAAGCTGCGGGCTGAAATAAATAGCGAGCTGCAACGCATTTAGCAAATGATAATGCAATCCACAGCAAGCTTGAGAGAGAAAGAAAACGCACTCCCTGGGGCTGGGAAGTCGCGGAGTGTGTGAAGACCGAGAAACATACATTATGCAGATTTCTCATGCGTCTCCCTCCACATAAATCACTGTCTCTGGAGGGCGCTCTGCAGGGCTGGGGGCTGGAAGGGGCTAGGGACCCGGCTCCCTGGGGAAACCGCGCTGGCGCCCGTGCTCCCCGCCACTCTGCGTCTCACCTGCCCGAGCCAATCATTGTCAAAGAGAGACGGAATCGCAACTCGACGGCCACGAGTTGTCGCGTTTGTCACTGACACCTCACCCGCCTCCTCCCACGAAGCGACTCCCAGGCTCCTAGGACGTGGAACGTCGGGGATGCCCGCTAGACATGCTTCCAGAGCCAGGACCTGCACCCTCCTCTCGCCACTGCCAGTGGGAGCCCCACTCCCAAGCGGCACGGCCCCCAAGCCTGGCCCCCCCCTG